GCAGGGACCACGAACGGCTCCGAAGACTTCGCAACTGCGGAAGGAAGACATCGATGGTACGCAGCGAGAATACATGGGCCTCCTACTATTTCGACATAACTTAAGGTAAGCTGCACGCTGGCGTGGGAGTGATGTGCTTGTCCGAGTCGAGGGAGGCCACCGTGCCCTGTCATAGGTGCTGAGCGCTGAGCGCTGAGTATGTGCATGACGAACATGACGCGACAAAATTTTTATCAGACCAGGCTACAACCTCTCGGTTTGACTTGCAGGACTTACTGTACCTAATCTGCGGTGCTCTCTCCTTGTTACACGTACGATTGGAGGAGACGCAGAGGACATGGATAGGGCCCTTAAGTTAGCAGATCCGCGTTTCTTAGGCTCAAGCTTCGCCCTATCACCGCCCGAAGAGCCTGACGTACCAAGATAGTCACCGTCCTCAAGAGAGATGCAAACGGTACATAACTCTCCGATGTTCGGATATTACATCCTCCGAGCGCCAATATCAGCACGCTGCTGACGCGTGCATCACGGCCTACCTGTGCAGGTGATGCCGGTCTTGTCGCAGCGGAGCACGCCACCAGGCGTGCAACTTCCATCTCTGTTTGCGAACATCTGCAGGACGAGCATCTTTCACTGAAAGCCGGCGACAGCTCGCATTATTGCAGAGCAAAAATCGAAGGAAACGCACTATCTTAACAGACCCTCCGGGCTGTCTACGCAAAGACATCCGGTTCCACGAGTGACCGACAGCCCTGAGGTGGTATGTATACATATTTTACGCGTACACTGTCGCCCCAAAATATGCATGATCCCCCTCCTTGCAGAACCAAAGTACACTGTTCACGCCCACGGTCGTGCCTAGGTACATGCCACTCTGCGCGGAAGCATAGTCCGGTGGCGTACTGCAGAAGACTCCACCAGTGTTCCCGTGAGAAGATTGGAAGATGGGTATTGGGTGCGTGAACTTTATCGTGGAGGACCCTAGTCGGCGTGGTTAGCCCTGCGACGTTCTTGTCGTCCGCGCCGCTAGTCACGCCGTGCAAGCTTCATAGACCTTGAGGCGTCGAGTGACTTGCCCGTCTGTCTATATAACCTCCATGAGCGAGCAGCAGAAGATCTCTTCAACCCGCCAAGGTGGTACCAGTGCGCGCTGTGCCGCCTGCTACGCTTCACTTCACTGCTTCACTTTCGGTGAGTGTCCGCACAGTTATCTAGAACAGTATGCTGATATACGAGATACCCAGCTCATCCGGTCTGACCTTACCTGCTTCGCTCCAACATCCATTCGCCGCCGAAGTTGAGGTACATCATGTGTGCGCCCGTACATGCCAAACGTGCTGCACACCGTATCGTTCGCAAGAGACACACCGATTCTGACGTGTTCATCCACTCCTCCGAGAGTGGTCTTACATACTGGTTCACGACGCTCTTCCGCACGTATGCGGTTGTACAACGTTGCGGCGCGTCCAATTCCGTGCCACCGGTGCTCGCCAAGCACTATGCGCGACGGCATTTGACATGAGTCACCCAAGAACGTGAGTACGTCTGTGCGAGAATTCTTGAGCGAGGGATTGACACGCTGTGTTAGGAGAAGATATAGCTCTGGCTGGACTGGGGATGCGAAAATATCCGAGGCTGCCTTGAGATGGCCAGCTAGACTGGCTGCACATTTGTTTTGTAAGATTCACTATAATCAACGCTGCGTGTTGTACCTTCCAGTTCACTGAGCAATCACATCCATTTAATCAAACTGTGCGCATTTTGCAAGCTGTGAGGTGACCAGATGCAGTCGACATGCCGCCCTTGATCAGTTTTCTGTCTTCGTTGTTGACCAATGGCGGTGGACCCAACCGAATGCGATATCACCGGCACAGCTCCATTGGTCAATCATGCAAGTATAAGAGGGACTTCGTAGCAGGAAGAACAGGGTCTATATATCTCATGCATCAAGCATATCGAGTAAGACCGACGTGACGACCATATAACGATTATAATAAACTAATGAGAATTTTAATTATTCGGCGCTCGCTACTCTCTTGGCTCAGTCGGCTAGGGCGGAGCGTAATCCTAAGGTCGCGATTTCGATTATCATAGGAAGCATTCTTTCTTCTCTTTTAGACTCGCAGAGGGTATACCTGAAGGCCACAGGTAGCAAGCGATGTACTCATACCGTAGCATGTTTCTGGATATGTGCTTATAAATCTAATCGCTGTCTAATCAGCGTCGAGGGATAGAGGGCTACAACACAAGTTACAAGTTACAGTGCTACACGGCTGCATCCTAAGCTATCAATACACAGTGATAACCTCTTGTTAAGTTCAGGCGATACGCGATCCTCAATGCAGACGCTAAGGCTCATCTGCAGAGTCATTTAAAGTACCGGCAACATGCCCGCTGTCAACTTCCGTGGCGGGGTCGGTAAATGCTCGCGCCTGGACGGCGTATAACTTGCTGTACTCGCCGCCCTTCGCCATGAGTTCCTGGTGAGTACCACTCTCGACGAATTCACCTGACTTCAAGCACCTGCAGTCGGCCCCATAAGAACAGCGATGAGGTGGGGCAGAGAAGAAGGCCACTCACAATATGACGTCAGCGTATTTCGTCAGGTGCCCGAAGCGATGCGTGACGAAGACCATCGTCTTGCCCTGACGCATGGCACGGAGCTGCTCAAAGAGCTCGAACTCGCCAAGTGGGTCCATTGCTGAGCTTGGCTCGTCGACGACCACGAGCCGCGTGCGTGGGTTCATGAGACGCATGAACGTCCGGGCCCTACGGGTATTTACGTCAGTACAGAAAGATGGGACGAGGATATGTAAAAGCACATACGCCGCGAGACGCTGCTGCTCGCCCCCCGAGATATCCTTCCACGCCTCAAGCTTGTCGTACATCTCCTTGAGCGGCCCTTCGGCCAGCGAGTAGTTTGAACTGAAGGAAGTCGTGACTGGGTGTATGACCTCGTCGAAGCCCTTCTCACGCTTTCTGATGAACTCGAGCGCGCCGCCAAGTCTGGCAGCTTCATGTACACGCTCAACTAGATGCGTCCGGCTCGCAGCGCCACCCTCAGCACAGTCGAGACAGAACTCGGGGTCGCCGATAGCGATGTTCTCCAGGATGGTAAACGCAGGGAAGAGGGAGTGAGACTGTGTAAGCAGCGTCGTCGCCTTCTGGAGGTCCTCGGTAGTCCAAAATCGCGCGCCTGTGCTGATATCGGTAGCGTGCGGATCGACTCCGTCGAAGAGAATGGTGCCAGCCGTTGGACGGTGCAGATTACAAAGGAGATTCACTAGCGAAGACTTGCCAGAACCATTAGCGCCAACGATAACGACGAGGGACGATGGCGGTAGTGTGAAAGTGACGTCGCGAAGAGCTGCGCTGGACGACGAAGCATCGTCTGCGGATGACGGGTACCGAAAGGTGACATTTCTGGTCGGGAATTAGAGAGGCTCGACAGCTGATGACGTGGGAGGGCATACCTTAGCTCAATGCCTACACCTTTACTCTGGCTCGTATCAGAACCAGTAGCCTTTTGCGCTCCCTCGTCCCCTTCTACGCTCTCCGCTCCGGCCTTGTCCTGCACCTCTAAATCACGGTAAACAGAACGAATTTGTTTCAAGTTCTCCCGAAAGCTCGTTCGCTCCATGAGCACCCGTTCGAGTGTGTTCCGCGTAATGCCCAGCGTCTCATGCAGCATTGCTAAAGACGAAAGCGATAAGCCACTTTGGCGATAGACAACCGCGGAGATGGCATAATAGATCTGCGAGTGCAGTCTTCGCGTAAGTAAATATCGCCTATTCACAGTTTTGAATGAGCGTACCAAGGGCAGGTCGTCAAGCACGCCAAGGACAATAGCACCAAACGGGTTGCTTTGCTGCCGAACCGCTTCAAACGGATAGTCATCTGAGAACGGTCCAAGCAGGGCTCTTGCCTTCTCATGCTCTAGGAGATGTCGTCAGAACCAGTCGGTGCACACGCTAAGAAGGGCACGCACCTCGCCGAATGTACTCGCTCATCGTCCCACTAATAACCTCGCGCTTGTACGACGAGCTTATAGCGAGGCCGTGAAACGATTCAGCGCGCAGGTAATGCTTGTTGTTCACATGGGCAATGTACGCTGCACGAGCCAGAGTCTGAGTAATAAGGCATGAACAACGTTGACGAAGGAGACGCACTTGTATCATCGAGCTCGTGCCTGAGCATCCGACTGACGAGAGGCCAAGTCACGCAGAGAGCGATTACGATGAGGCTATTCGCCATGCTGGCAGCACCTCCGCTCGCCAACTCGCCACTCGAGCCTGCATCGGTAGTGGCATTCCCAGTCGAGTTCTTCATAAGCGTGTCGGTACCTGTGAATACGGAAAGAAGAGAAACAGAATCACCACTGGCAGTGGGTTTGAGAACCAGGTTTGCAAGGAGCATGAGCGAAGAGACGGTGCTGAAGATGACGTCGAGCGAACTCATTAGGTTGAGCAGAGCATACCAGCCATTCATGGGAGACGCGTCGATGCTCGACGACGCTTCGCGGTAATGAGACATGTCCTGGGACAGGTGTGCTAGACGCAGAGGCTCAGTAAAAAAAACGTAGAGGACGTATAGTAGGAAACCGACCGTTCATGAGACGCTCCTGGAAGTAGAGTTTCGCACGGCCCTTGAGAATAGGTTGAGTACGAGACCTGCATCACGCTCGGTTAGTCGGTGTAAAACAGCATGGTTAGCGGAGGAGCCTACGAAAACCAACGCCAAACGGCGATCGCTGCCACTGCGGCGATGCGATACAGGACCGCGCGAAGAATTGCGGGGCCATCGGGGTTAGAGGACGCAATCCCTGTTTCAATCTATAGTTCATACATCCTGTAAGCCATGAGCTTGGAGTCGTGAAAGGCAGAGGCGCACTAGTGTCATGACCCGGTTATTTAGCCATAGTAGCATCGCGCCCTCGAAACCCGTGAGCGAGTAATTGAGGGCCAAAATCCAGAACAGCCCTGGACCAAGGAGGTAGACGTCTGTGACCAGACGGGGAATGTGCGTCCTCTCAAGCTGGAACTTCATTTGGTGCGCGAGAGTGGATATTTCCGTGATGGGATCGTCGTAAAATCGAGACCAAGACCACGAGACCGGCTCAGTGGTATCTTCAAGAGATGTTTTCGACGTGGGCTTGTCTAGGAGGGCATCCGGATCGCGCTCGGTTATGACTCGCCATATTCCGATCTGTGTGGCCTTGAGCGTCGGAGGCAGGCCTTCCTCGATATCGTCTACATGCGTCTCCTTCTCCTTCTCGTACGAGTTGTAATCCTCTGGATTAGGTCGTGTGTTCTTCATGAGATCGTGGTAAGAGTCAGTGTCGTTGGAGTCTTGAGAAACTCACCCCGCTTATATATGCAAGTATACATCGCGGCGCGCTAACACGTCGCTCAGCGCTGCGCCTGCCCGGGACCGGGATGAGCTGCCCGGCCAGGACGTAAACCTTTGAGTGGCGATGCAAAGATATATTGCTTTGCGGCGCGCGTCACAGGCGCTATGCAATGGCTGCGTTCGCTGCCTGATCACAGCTTATATGCGCCATTATTGTGCACGAAGGACAGTTTCGTGCCCAGAACGGAGACGATATCGCTTCAGGGCTAACGTATCGTCCGTCGGTAGCTATGGAGCAGAAGCAATGCACTGACTCACACAAAGGGAATGCTGTTCAAAAGCAAAGGGCGGTGTCGCATAATCCCCTATCGCTCGGTGCTACGGCGTAGCCAAGTGTCCGATAGTAGCCATGACGTGAGTTGCGGTTGACGGCAATCTACGCCAGTAATCCCGTACAGCCTGCCCGCGCCGCGGGAGAAGCGTTCTGAGCTGTACATAGAATAACGCTGGAGTGACTCGGACGCTTTGCGACAGCGCTGAGAGACAAGTCGAGCTGAACGCGCGACATATTGCGGCAAGAAATCGATCAGGAGCCGTACAACCCGAGAGTTGAGGGGATGAGGTGGCGGTCTATGATTCAAAGCACATACTGTGGTCGGCTGTTGCGCGTAGCCTCGGGGCAGAGCTTTATAGCTTTATAGCGGTGTCATCGGTCGGCACAGAACTTACTGAGCCCTCGGACACTTCTGGTCACGAAGCGCCTTCACTCAAAAGCTAGAACATGCGACACGTCGAAAAATTTAAGTTGTACGAACGTGTGACTTGGTTAGGCTTGAACAAACTATACTCTGCGGCACTGGTAGCCACTATCACTCGATACTGCATGTCTATGAGTAGACTCTGAGTCAATCCACGTCATCGTAAGCTCATGCCGGCTGCATACAGAAGCATGTACAGAGGCCGATTTTTCAGTTCATGTAGGGCTCAACCTGCAAAGCCCTGAAGGGCATCCCTGAAGCAAGACCCTTGCGGATCTAGGATGCTCGACGTCATGGTCCAGGCATGCACCAATGTAAATCCGAATCTACCGGACTTATATTGACAGTACATTATGCGCGTAGATCAACAATGCTCAACTCTCGTGTACAGTCGTAGATCTGTCCTTTCCGGCCTAACGTAGCCTGGTCTCCTGATCAAAGGGAGTTGCAGCATCTCAGTCATCAGAGCGAGAGCGTACTTTTAAGCTGGCCAGAGTCTAGACCCGTGGACCACACCTCGACCACCCGCGGAGCCGATGCAAGGTGGAGCCAAACAGCACCCGACCATGGTCTGCGCCACAAGGCTTCCCCTCTCGATCGAGCGACGTAAGGGTGGCAAAGCCTCCAGCCAGGGCGTCGCCAGAGGGATCGTGTTCGAGATTTCTGGGTTTCGGCGTGCTGGAAGAGAGCACATATAGAGGGCTTCGAGAGCATCCTGCATCCGACCTCCTTTCATTCCACTGCCCTTCATCGTCGCTGCGCGTCACCAGCCGTGTCACTATTCCGGCCCCTCGCGAAGCCTTCTCATAAGACATGCAACGTTAGCCTAGATCGACGTACCATCAGTCCGGGCCTTGTAGCAGTCACAGGGATATACTCACCAGTTGAACGTTCTGTCTTTCTAGCCCACTCCCTGTCCTGGGCGACACCGTGTAGTGATTCTTAAAGGGCGCCAATACTACAATCAGCACGATTTACGCGCCTTACAGCTCGACGACGGCCAATGTTCGTAGGACGCGAGCCTGATCTCGGCACGCCTTCAAGTTCCCAGCCGTCTTCATGCTGATGGCAGAATGGTGGATCGTACTGCTCAAGAAAACCGTGAAAACTCAACATTTATTGGAGACGATTATTCCAACATCGTATACTGCTCAAAGAACGGAGAAGACACAGCGACCCTCCGCAACGAAACACAAAAAGTGCAGATGGCACAGGTTGTCGAAGACTCTACAGAAAGCCGTTAGCCAAAGCAGCGAAAGGAAGTCGTACCACCGCAACGTACCAGCGTTCGCCAGGTCGCACAGAAGAGTTCTAGCCCTGTTCGCATTCCAAGCCGTTTCGACCGAGTAAATCCAAAGGCTTGCCCAGACTGCAAGATGAGGGTGGTTATCAGTGCACACCAGCTGTTGAAACGGCCAAGGAATCACGCAAGGCCTACGTGGGAGGAGGGGCAGAAACTCCGACAGGTACTACAAATTGATGCCAGTCTAGACAGGGCGTGGATCGCTGCTTATCCGGAGGTTGTCCCGCCTCCTATCGCATATCACAGCGACCAGGTGGACAAGGACGCAGCTTAGACCATATGTGAGCCGTATGTCGCGCCAGACACGAGTAGGAGAGGTAGAGAACGAGCCCGAAGCGCAGGATGTGAAGTGGCAAGGGCGGCGGACGCAAGTAGGAGCTAGGCGCTGGATAACCTGGTATCGGATGTTATGGGGCTCTCACGATTAATTTCCCGTGATGAATGCCGTGTTTGGTAAATCCCGGGGGCTATTTTTTCCCATAAGCTGCAGGCGCCCGTCCGAATTACCGCGACACAGCTGTCTGCGGGGAGTCTCGACCTCTCTCGACCGTCAGAGGCCAATCGTGGTGGCGTCTGGGGGAGGCCAGGGCGGGTTCCAGACCAAGTTGTTTGAGTCTGTCGGTGGGAGGATCCCTATAAGGAGAGAACAGGAACCGCAACAGTCGCAGCGTCCCGGGATCATCCTTCGTAGCGTAATGGAGCCGGTGTAGTAAATGCAAATCCGCACACGTCTTCCGGTGACCAACGTCGGTGGCGAGTGTCTACATGTCCTACAGACCACACAGAGCTCACGCCGAGCAAGCTTGGGGGTGTTCAAGGCGACGGCAAGGGGCAGAATGCAGGCCCAAGCGCGACGGGTCGGAAGCGCATCCGGATTGAGTTCAGCGACGAGGGCGAATTTGTATTACTCGCCATCAAAACCAAGGCCACGATAAAATCTCTTCCTCTCGACTGCCTCTCAGCCACTCCACCCCCCCAAGACCCAAGACCCACGATTCCAGACCGTCGCACAGTCGACAGCTCTGGGCGCATCACTCTCAACCAATGGACCAATCCAGCTACAGGTCTCTTCGACAACAACCACAAAACCAGTACGACCCCCTCCCGCCTCCCTCGTCCCTCGGCTCTTCTTCCAGCTTCCGCACCAACACCCTCCCACCCCTCAATGTCTCCCAGGTCTCCATCGCCCAGCCGTCGCTGCCATCGGCCTCGTCCCCCTCACCCCGCGGCTACCCGCCGCCGACATACAGCCATCCGAGCCTCAGCACTGCAGCACAGCTCCCTCCGCCGCTCAGCAGCCCCATGAGCCTCGGCGGGGGCCTCGGCTGGAACCACCGCACCAGCAGCTCCCGCGACGACTACACCGGCCTCACACCCCCGCTCCGCCGCGTCGAGAGCCGCGGCAGTCTCAAGGACGAGGCTTACGAGCGTTTGGACCGCGACCGCGATCATTCGCGAGATCGCGAACGCGAGCGTGAGCGCGACATCCAGGTCCAGCAGGACAGGGAACGCCGAGATCACCGCGAGCGGGAACGGCAGGACAGCACGGAAGCGAGCGGGAGCGGGCAGAGAGACAACGTAAAGCACGAGGGCGAGGACGGTATGCCCAGCACGAGCGACTTTGTGAAGAAGCTCTACAAGTACGTTCCGCCGCCTTTCCTCGCCGGCGATCTCTGACGATTTTCGCGCAGGATGCTCGAGGACCCTGCCTTCCAGCCCGTCGTCTCGTGGGGCCCGCATGGCGACTGCTTTGTTGTCAAAGATATGAACGAGTTTACGAAATCGATCCTACCACGCATGTTCAAGCACAGCAACTTCGCGTCCTTTGTTCGGCAGCTCAACAAGTATGACTTTCACAAGGTGTGTATATCTTTCTTCCCGCCTCCTGCGTTTTGCTGTGCTTGCTTTCATTTCCCTTTCCACGCTCTATTTCCGTCCCCGTTTCCATCCTGTTCCTTTTGCCCCGCCGTTCCCCTATTCCTGCGCCGACGATAGTGCTGCCACGGTGCTCGGCGTCTTGGATCCCCTGACTGCCCTTGAAGTTCCAAGGGGTTCGCCGAACGAGCTTCCGTTTGCCACGTTCATTCTCGTTCCGGCCCGGACGCTAGAAGTGCCACTCCGCTTCCTGCCATTGCCTGTATGCGGAGCGTAGCAAGCGGGACGGCGCCCTTGCGGCACACTCAAGAGGCCGCTCCTTACTCCGGGCAGTGATAGGCTCTCTCGAGGGCATCGGGCGAGCAGAAGGTTTGACCGGCAGCTGTTAGCTTAAGTTTCGGTCCGAGTGTCGTAATTGCCGCTGTTGCCCGTCGCTGTACTTGGAACTCAGCTAATCGCACTTTCCCGCAGGTCAAGAACACGGACGATAACGCTTTCGGCGAGCACGTAAGTCCCTGTACGCACTTGCGAACTGCGCAGCTGCTGACACCTTACACGTGCAGAGCTGGACATTCCGGCATCCTGACTTCCACGCGGACCGTCGGGATGCACTTGAGAACATCAAGCGCAAAGTCCCTGCAGCCCGCAAGTCCGTTGGTGGCTCAGGCGGAACACGCGCGTCGCCGTCACCAGGCGCATCTGCCGACCTCAACGCGATGTCGTCGTCGCTGTTGAACACCCAGAACCAGGTGCAAATGCTCCAGCAGCAGATCGGAAACACCTCCAGCTCCCTGAGCACGACGACGAACCAGCTCCAAAATACGACCAGCACGCTGAATGCGCTCCAGTCGACCGTCTCGACCCTCAGCAGCACGGTGTCATCGCTCACGACCCAGATCTCGCAGATCTCGCGCATGCACGAGGAGCGGCTTTCGCGCATGCAGGACGAGTTCGTCCGCGCGCAGGAGGAGATGGCGAATCACATCAGGAACCTTGAGAACAACTACCAGAACGTGCTCAACGAGATGGTCCTCTTCCAACGCAACATGGCGCAGCAGGACGGCCTCATGCAGAACCTCATCCAGTACTTTTTGCAGGTCGAGAACGGTGGGTTCGCCCCTTCTACTTCTGCCCCCAATAACAGTGGTGGCATCGGGGCGGCAGATGGGAAGCTGGCAATTATTATGGCGCGTGGAGCGAACGGGCTCCCGACGCCCGATTCTGGGACTGGGCTCACGCTGCCGTCGCCTCCGCTGCTCTGAGTGTATTATGATGGACATTACGATTCTCTTTTTCTTAATTTCGAAGAAGCGCAAAAAAACGCGCGAGCCCAAAGACGAGTCTTTGGGAGCATATTTTATTCTGTAATAATAGCCTCCCCTCCGTCTTTCGCTCCAGTCTTTTGGCCCCTGTTTGCCTGCCCCGCGCCTCTTATCTCAGAATGAAGGAACGAATGCTAATTGATGGTCTTTTCTTCCTTTTCTTGGATCCACTTGCTCGAAATCGCGAACGTGAACGACCTGGAACTGGCCTCGACCGACGCCACGACGCTTATGACGCCAACGCGGTCTCGATGCTACCCGGAATATTCTTGACCCTCGCCTCCTGGGTGCGTTCACACCTCCCGCACTGTAAACAACGCTCTGGACCGTTCCACGTGGATACGCGCCGACATTTACAAATTCTGGACTTGTCTGGACCCGCCGATTGACCCCTCACCGACGCGGGTTCTGCTCGGACTCCTATCCGGGGACTTGGCGGGCATCCTGCGAACGCGACGTTCTGTTTCCGACACACAGGCAAGCTCAAGGCGGAGGACGCTACGAACGCTCTCACCGCACCTCCAGGCACCGCCGTCGGGTCTCCGGCCGCTCCATCGCCATCGCGCGCGAACAGAGCCCGACCTGGCAGCAGCGACTCGCAAGCAAGCCAGGGCTCTACGGGCGCGCCAGGCCTTCCGGACGGGAACCCCTTCCTACCCGTCACCGAGGCGCAGCGCATGATGGGTGGTGCGTACCCCGACATGGACATCGCTCGTGCGAGTCTCGCCCAGATGAACGAAATTTCGCAACGTGCCAGGGCCGCGGGCCTCACCTTCAACCAGGCCGCGCAGTCGTCGGACGCGGCCTCGAGCTCACGATCCGGCGAAGGCCCGAGCATGAGCAAGATCTACGCCGCGGCGACGAGCCTCATGCCCGAGCTCGAGCGGCCGCTCTCAAGACAGAACGCGCTAGCACGCATCGAGGAGCTGTCGCGCGCACGCCCAACGTCGGCCCAGGGTGGGCTCATCGCAGGCCCCGGGCAGGGCAGCAGCCTCGAGGCCCTCGCCGCCCCGGCTGGCCCAACGTCGGGCAGCCCCGGCATATACACGGACGCACAGGACCCTTACGGCGCGATGCTCGCGCAGGGCGACCAGCGGTACGGCGTCCCACTCAACTCTGCGACGCTCAACCACGAGGGTCTGCAGGTCTTCACCGTCGGACACCTCATGCCGAAGAGCAGCCTCGAGGACGACAACGGCAACTGGACCTTCGACCCCGCGCTCGTCATGGGCGGCGCGCCACCACCACCGCCACCGCCGGCCGTTGCCAGCAGCAGCGTAGTCGCAGCGCTCGACAGCGCAGTCGTCATGCCCACGCCTCAGGGTATGGGCGGCGACCCGGAGCAGGAGGGCGAGATGGAACGGCAACAGCCCATCGTCGTCGTGCCCGACCCCGAGCCAACACCACAACCAGGCCCGAGCACGGTCGGGACGAGCCAGAAGCTGCGCGTACGCCGGAGCACGTATGTCCCTGGCTGGGCGGTGCCGCCCCGCGTGTTGCTCGTCGACGACGACGCCATCAGCCGGAAGCTTAGCAGCAAGTTCTTGCAGGTCTTTGGCTGTACCATCGACGTCGCTGTCGACGGCGACGTCGCCGTGAACAAGATGAACTTGGAGAAGTACGACTTGGTGCTCATGGTACGTGAATCTCACGTTCAACGGCGAGCATGTGTTCACGTTTGTGCAGGATATCGTCATGCCCCGACTCGACGGTGTCTCTGCGACATCGCTCATTCGTCAGTTCGACCACATGACACCAATTATCTCCATGACGAGCAACTCAAAACCGGACGACATCACCAAGTACTACTCGTCGGGCATGAACGACGTTCTACCAAAACCATTCACCAAGGACGGTCTCCTTGAGATGCTCGAGGTAAGTCCATGTCTCCTTCGGTCACCTTGCAGTTGCTGATACCTCGTCCCAGCGCCACTTGATGCATCTCAAAGTCATACAGACGATGCAGAAGATCCCCCGCTCGATCGGCATCCCACCATTGTCGGACAGCTCGTTCGACCAGGCGCTGACAGTGCAGGCAAATGCGCTTGCTTCGTCCTCCGCCGGTCCATCCGCTTCCGCTGCAGGCCCGTCGAACGCGAACGGCTTCAACCTGTCGCTTGGCGATGACGATGGCAAGATCAACCCGCTTGCGGGTATGGGCCTCACGGACGAGCAGTACACGACGATCCTGCACAACATGGTTAACGGCGAGAGTTTCATGGGCATCGGGCCACTGCCAGGCATGGGCATGGGCATGACCATGATGAGCATGGCGATGGACAATGGGAAGCGTGGTCTGGAGGACCCTGAGGACGGGCGCGATGGCAAGAAGGTTCGGTTCGAGATAATTGAGTAGAAGAAGTCAGGGACGCGGCGCGATACCACGGATCGAATACCCCGCCGGTCGGCCCACGGAACGCGCGCACCTCCTGGTCGATTAGGGTGCGCACACACACAAGGAGCGGCGCTGCCTCGTCAAGGCGTACGTAAAGCGCATGTAACACATGCATCGTGCACAGAAACCCAGATCCAACAGTATTAATTCATGTATCCATTCTCGCTCCTCTTTCACCCCTCATTGGTATAGGCATAACTCAAGCACCACATGTGTATCATAGTACTTGGCATTGACTGCTTCCACATGCACTTTCTGATATTCATTTGTTCATCGCTAGCTTTGTCCGTGCGATAGCTGTTCTTGTACATACATTCGAGGAAATGGCAACACAAGGCCAAGGCCTGGTTCTCGCGGATCCGTAATGTTTGTAGCATCAGCAAGTGTGCCCACGGCGTTCTTGTGCGAAAACCGAAGATACTGATACCGCAGTCAAATCATCTAAGTAGGCCATCAGTACGAATTGCGACCTGGACTCTACCACTCGTGAGTCTAGATCAAGATCTGAGTTTTTAGCTGCAAGCTGTAGCCACGCCCTGGAATATCAGCGCGATAGAAAAAAGCTTGAAGACAGTGTGCTCCCTGTGAGGATCGAACTCACGACCTTAGGATTACTCGCCCAATAGGGCGATCATACCATAGTATGAGACCTACGCTCTACCGACTGAGCCAAGGAAGCACATGACTAGTGAACTATGAGGAGGAGCTCGTGCAAATAGAGGTTCATTCACCATTGCCCGACGGCCGCTGCATATGGCAACCTATACTGCTTGATTTGGTTTGTGTAGCGAATGTATCCTTGGGACGAATCGTTGATCATCAAGTACTGGAAGCTGGCATTGACGACAGATGTGTCAGATTAGGGCTGGGTAGCGTAATGAAACCTCTGATTCGGAATCGACGAGAGTCCCGTGCTATACTCTGGTGAGTCGCCGCTTTCCGAGTTCCTATTTAGAGCGGTCCTACTGAGCCACGAAGAGATGATCACCCGTTTATTAAGCAATCGACGTCGCCGTCGTGCACTCCTTGTTCTCAAAGACAGTCTGCGTGACGTGTTATTGAAGTCAAGGTACTGACGACATCTCCTGGTGTACACTGCCCTCGTTGGCATACGAAAGTACGCAACGTGATAATAAGGTACATCAGCTATTTCGCTTCTAATGCGGACATTGAGTTCCGCATGCGGATCGGATCGTGGAATGCGGTGAACCTGCTGTCAGTGGAGAGCTTCGGTGAGGAGGCTGTCCGCGCGTAGAGAATTATCCCCAAGAGGACTGGCAAGTAATTTGCGCTTGGACGTCATTTTTTGTTCGCTGTTATAACAGCTACGGTAATGCTCGCATGTGCAGGATATCCGCGGGCTTTAGAATAAAGCCGGCAGCTCATGGTGGTGTCTAGTATCCGGAAGGCCCAGCCCGACGGAATCAAACGAGGGATTAGCCATCATGATGCGCTGATGCGCCGCAAGGTAACGGCCGGGGCGCCACCACGACACTGCCCCTCCTCATGATCACCCGCTCCCAACGCTTCCACGGCTACCTTTCAGAAACTCCTCCTGGGAAGGTGCTGTAAAGACGAGCTCCCAATCAGCGTACCCTTCGGAGCTGGCCTTGCGACATACACATTGATTGCTTCTCCGCAGCCTCTATCTTTGTATTGGCCGGGCTTCAACCTTTCGAACCTGATGCAAACTAAGAACTCTGCAAGCAACATGGACCAAGACAGCCGCTTGAATTACCCAGAGCCAATCTTGAGCTAATCTGAGGTATAGGGAGTTCGCAGAGCGTAGGTTAATTCTGATGCATAGAAATAGTCGATCGTTTCTGGCCTCGTTGAGGTCGCACACATTGACTTCACGCTTCCACGCAACTCCCTTCTCTACACGCCGGATCCTTGCTCTCATTGCCCTTCGGATATTGACGGGCTTCTAAGTGCCTCCCCGAGTGCGTCCCCGTTCCCAAACCCATTCACGGAGGCCTCAAGGACTCGGATCATGCCTGGTTTACGTATGGTATGAAGTCACTCTGTCTCCTGTTTGGAGTCCGGCGGCTTCTATGTCGTTGTACCTCACAGCCTTTGGGTCCCACAGCTTCGGGTCACATTATCCAGCTATCGTCGAGGGGTGCCAAGCTTCCATGCTTCTAGTCTTCAATCGTGCGCCACGGACCTGGTAAGCTCTTGCAACGGATGTGTTATTGAAAGTGGGTGGGCCCGTTTTCTCTCTCTCGGGCTTAGCGATACAGCGTGACTCACAAGGGCTAAGCCAACTCAACGCACTATGCAGGCCGTACTGCTATGCGCCGCTCGCCACGTGCACCATAATCGGTTGCAGCGTTCTCGGCACAGATGCTCTGCGATCTTTACGACGGCGCCGGAGACAAACTCAGCTACCTCGACGCTGGCCTACCCCGCACGAATAGAGCTGAGACGCTCATCATCTCGGCCCCTTTTTCCTTAGGAGCACGCCCGGTCACTCGCATCATGCATAAGGTTGGTTAGCGTGCTTCCATTCGAGGTCCGTCTTCATTTAACATGCGCGGCAGCGATTCCTCATGGTCGTCATGAATAACCGAGAGCAGAGAGCCGGGTGTATCGTAACTCGTCGGCCTACGGCGTCGCGCCACACAGCGCGGGAGGCAGTCTTCGCTCTTCACTACTACGCATGATTGAATTCCCGTTATTGACCGTTTGTCAGGATAGATCGGTTCTCCGCCTCCGCTTCCTCCGCTCGGGATCTCCACTTCTCAATCCGAGGGCGCTCACAGCCACTGAACACGCCATTACCTCTTTCTTCTTCGGAGTTGAGCCAGCTAAGGCTCAGCGCTGGGTTACTCCTATATAGGTGAGTGTCTGTCCTCCTTGTCCAAGCACTTTCTCATTCCTCCTCTCCCCATCCCATGAAGCTCGAGATGAACCCACTCAAGAGGCTTGATCCTCATGGATCACTTCCTCCGTCCCTTACGAGCATGAGCGTCGGGATGTGGCGACTTATATACGACGCTCGCCCAGCTCGCCTCAGCACATCGTGGAAACAGGGCCTCATGAAGTGGAAGCAGGCTGTCCTCGACCAGCATCTATTACGACTACTCTTCGATATCTACGACCTCGGCCCTGGTCTCTTTTTCTTCTGCGTTTTTTCACGTCTTGTTCGTGGATTCGAAGACGCGTGCACTATCTACTTTTCGAATCGACTCATCAGATCGGTAAGTTCATACTCTGTTCGGGCAAGTGGCTTTACGAGATTGATCTCCTTTCCTTAGATCGAGCAGGGCCTCGCTTCTGGATCGCCTGACACTCGAGAGATCGTTGTCTGGCTTGTGGCACGTGTCTTTATCAGTGCAGCATTGGCTGTATGGCGTTTTATAACGTACGTTGCCGTATCTACGATCATGCCTGTGTATGTCCTAACGTCGTTCATACAAAGCTCCCGAGCTGATCCGATATTGTCAACACGCGTCAAGCTATACTTCGAAGAGCGTGCGATAGAAGGTGATTACGGCCTAGAAACTTCGAGGACATGCTTTCCTGATATCTTCACAGCACAAGCTGATATGGATTACGTTGCCGCAACCTCCTGTGAGCCTCCGAAGTCCATACAATAAAGCGCTCTGTCTAACATACTCTCAGGCCAGTCTTACGATTTCACTCCGCCGTCCGCTTGGGGAACACTATACGCCATTCTTGAGGCCGTTGATGCTCTATGTGCGACCGCCAGCCAGGTACTTCTGGTCGCATCTATGACATGTACACGCGAAGACGGCTGGATGGTCCTGGTGGTGTGCATGACCAAGCTGATCTCCGACATGGCGCTCTCTGAACCTCTGCAATCGAAGGGTAAGTATACCTCTGCAAATATCCTTCTAATATGATCACTGACCCCAGTCGAAGCGTGTCTCGCGCAAATTACTAACAAATTCTATCTGCGGATGCGTGCCCTGTATACCATCGCAACGGACAGCAACTACAAGAAAGACCTTGTGGGCGGTGCGTTCGGTCGTCATCTTGTTGATGGTACGTTGCGATACGCGTGCATATAGAAGCTGTTAGCACTGACGCCGTATCGCAGAATATAAGCTGGCTCGAGAGAATTTCGGTGATATCTCCGATGAGATACCGTACCACCTCATGCCGTCCCACAGTACTCTCGTCTCTAAAGTATTGACTGAATCTATTAATAACCTTCCGATCGTGAGTCCACCAGAGTCCACTATCGCCATAAGGCTTCTACTTATAGGTTGATATGCAGCTCTTCGTTGGCGCAAGTGCACTGCTGCGCCCACGACACACGTCTTTAGCCTGCCTTACAATGATAGAGCAGGTGTCTTTCAGCCTTCGACACTCCGTTGCTCGCTTGTCCTACGTCACAGCCAACGTGTATCGGAGCTTGGAGTCAATCCGCGGCATATATAAAAAGATAGATGCGCACGCGGAGAAGTTGAAAGCTGATGAACACAAGATACGCTACCCGGTCGTAGAGCGCAAGGATCAGCGCGGAATGGAGATCAATTTCAAGTACGTAGTGGAAGTCTGCCAGCGACCATTTTAGTTTTTAGTTCTATACTGACCCTTCTTTTAGGAATGTCTCTTTCCACTATCCTCATGGTGACGACGGAAAGTGCGCTCTTCGGAACGTGAGCTTTCAGATCAAGCCTGGCTCTCTCGTTGTCATCGTCGGCGCAAATGGTAGCGGGAAGACGTCCATTGCCAATCTACTCTCAGGCTTTTATCCCCCCACGTCTGGAGAGATCTTGATAGACGGTATCAACGCACAAGACTACCGACCGCTGGACCGTCACGAGGCCGTTGCGATACTCTCCCAGGACTACAACATCCTCCCGCTTACGATCTCCGAAAATATTGCCCTCGGCGATCCGTACGACATCGCAGACGAGTACCGCGTCCAAGAGGCTGCCCGTTTGGGAGGCGCAGCAGACTTTGTCCGCCGCCTGCCAAAAACATGGTCGACGGTTCTGCATCCCGTCCCGTCAGTCAGTCCGCTTGGCTATATCGAGGATGGCCCCTTGAAGGAGGTAATGAATGAACTGGACAAGTTCACGGACATTTCAGGTAAGCGATGGTTATGATCGATGTGATCGCAGGTCCTAATTTTATAACACGCAGGTGGTGAGAAGCAACGTCTGGCAGCGTAAGTGTTTCAGTGTCGACACTGCTGGTGACAGTAGACGATATTAACGGGTTTAACGCCTTAGATCTCGAGCTTTCATGCGCCTCATGTCACCAAAAATCAAGCTAATGGTTGTTGATGAACCGACTTCGGCGATGGATCCTTTGGGCGAGTACGAACTATTCGAGAAGCTCAGATCCTTGCAGGCGGGAAGAACATTGGTTTGTGTGACGCATCGGTTCGGACATCTGACGAAGTATGCCGACCTGATCCTGTGAGTGCTCGAAGTCGTATCTCAAACCCTAAACACTAACGAAAACTTGCTTCTAGCTGCGTGGATAATGGATATGTGGCTGAAAGTGGGACGCACGACGACCTTTTGAGATCCGATGGCCTGTATGCCAAGCTCTACAATGTTCAAGCTGAAGGCTTTGCTCCGAATGCTCAGCAAACGTGATGATTATATATTCTAGCTCTCACGCCGCCTTCATTTTTATAATAGTATCTATGCCTAGGGTTATATCTATGTATATATTGCAATTAGACCGAAGTCCATATATAGGTGCTGCTTTGACCATACTCTATCTGAGTGCTCTCGTCAATGCTACAAATCGCCTTGACTCTCATGGCCACGATGGACGCTACAAGAGATATCAATCTTGCCGTGCGTCGCAGCGCCCAGAATCTCGGGACTTCGTCGTCTTCTCTTGAAGGTGCCAAGTCAATGCGAAGTATCACGTACGGGGCGTATAGCAGATTTAAGTGATCGGTGCACATGTTACATATGAAGTGGAGAAATATTCGATTCAGGCCCTGACTCGGAAATTGTGCTACTCCCACGACAGACATTAGGACCTCATACTACTCCCCGTCCCGATCTTATGGGAGCACATGGGCTTGAATATTATACAACTTGCTGTAGACACCGTTCCGCTCGACAGGCAGCTTGTGCGTGTCTGATTCCAAAAGCATGTCGTCATACATACACCTGACCGAACGTAATATGCACGTCGGCACTAGAATCGAACTCCCCTATACGGCCCATACTCACAGAATGAGATCCACATGGCGCGTGAGGTGGCCGCCCCAGAGCGGTGTATGACGAGGGTCCACCCCGAGCGCACGCGCCGGAGCGCCTCGAATAGCTTAAACTCCCCTTCAAGGTCCATCGCGCTCGTGGGCTCATCGATGACCAGCAGTTTCGTATCTGGAGACATGAGGCACATAAATTTCCGTGCCCTGCGGGGGCCTAAAGTCAGCTGGCAGGTCATGCGCGGAGCGGAAATGACCACCCACGCTGCAACTCGCTGCTTCTCTCCGTCTACACCGATCGTTAGCACGGGGTCGTCAGATCGTGCCAGGCTATGAGATAACGGTACATACCAGAAACGTCCTTGCTCCGCTCAACTCTGTTTGCGGACGTCTAGAGCGTACGGAAGCGGATATCTGTATGGTCTAAGGTTACTCACGGAAGATTTCTTCATATTGCCGGCCAGCTTTTCATTGAAGTCTGCCACGCCATCAGACGCGCCCCGCCTGAGTCGAGCAGTCCTGGGTTCTTCGCCAGCGAAAGCGAGGAACGGCGTATTCTTGAGTCAGTAGCTCCGTCGAGGCGCGCAAGTCGTCCGCACTAGAATCTTCAGCAGAATTACGGTCTGCCAGTCGAAGCATGTAGGGATGCCAATAGTCTCACATGGACAACTTGCCGCTGCCGTTCGCACTAACATGGACGACGAGCGTGAAGGCAAGGTTTGCATACGAGACGTTCCGCAGAGTGGAGGTGCTCTCTGGTATGCCACAGCATGCGAAGCTGACAATAAACAGACATCTACCTTAAGTCTACGCTCGTTCCACCGTCCACCGAATCTTCGCTGAGGGGGTTCGGAGTAAAATTCCTTGAGATGCATCCTCTGACGTTCGCCTACGCTGGGCACGAGGCAGCCTCTTATATGTATATGCTCGTAAACATCCGCCCAGACGTCACTAAAACGAGCATCGAAGGTTTTGTCCCGCAAATAGTGCGCTATGGCACGGAAAGCCTGCAGTTTTAATCAGAGCTGAGTATGATACGGAGGCCGGCGAGTATTTACCCAGAGAACCTCCTCAGGAAGAGATATAAGAGTTCTCACAATGCAGTTCGACTACATTAGTGCAGTTTATCTGGCTCCTTGTCCCTCAATCTCCACGACTCGCTTCTCAGTATGCTGGACACTATCGTGAGTGATTACCCAAGAATCTAGGGTAATAGAACACGCACCGTTGAGTAGATACTCAATCCGCCTCCGACGAGTTTTTTCATGTGCGAGGTCTTCGTAGATACTTGAAGAAGAGCTAGATAATTCTGGACCGTCCAATTACCGGCATGATATACGGCTGCTACAACTACCCCCGTCAGCTTCTATGATAGTTTCGAGCATGAAGGGCGTATGTTATCCATGTAGCCTGCCCTTACGGAAGATCTCGCAAACGGAGTTCATGGGACATAAAATAACGAGGGTCGCGCCGGCATCCTGCGACTTTACCAGGCGGAAAGCGACATACGCTTCATATAAGAGAGAGAAGGCAGTCTAAGTCATGTCAAAAAACTCGGTTTACTGGTCGAGGTGACGTTACATTAGCCGGTCTTGGGCAGGTAATCGATCCCTGTTATCAGTGCACAACACAGTCAGAATCATCGTGGCAGCTGTTATAAATTTCTACCATCAACAATCGAGGGCGGCATATCGACGGCCATATGTTTCATGCATAACACGGACCTTTACAAAGGCTTCGATTTGAGCAGAGGAAAATATTGATATGTTATCTGGATATAACCCCGTTAGTTAGGTACATATGTCCGGGAGTTGACGTACCGTGACCAGTTGAAGACAGCTCAAATCCGAAAGGCCAAGGGCTTAGACAAGGGCCCCCATGCTGACTGTAGCCATCGTAGCTTGCTTGATCTGTCCGAGATCATTAGCACAGTAGATAGACGAAATGAGAGAACTTACACAGTTGAACAGCCTGTTTAAGAACAGCAGCTTGACCGCATTCCAGCGCATGTGTCCGACGGCGCCGCGGTACAGAACAGACTATCCCGGGCTTAAGGGATACATCGTGCAAGAAATGGGCAATATAGCTTCCAACGAGCGTGTTCAGTCCAGCGAGCGAAGAGCATCCGAGCATTGGATCTCGATTCCTCCCGATGCGCAGACTCCGAGCTGCGTCGTCTGCAGCTCCTGTGGGACCTCGCCAATATCCGAGTTTTCTTCGAACCGTCACTGTATCCCTTTTCTCCAGAGAACCCCCAGTACCACATCAGACTCTTATACCAGATGAGGCATAGATAGAGGACAGACGGTGACGAGGCATTTGTCAATGGACCGCCCCTGTAAAAGACCACAAAGCGCAGTATATCGCAAAAGAGTTTGCACAGAGTATCTGGCGAAATATAGCGGCCACAGTTACCGTACAAATGACGGAGACCGGGGAGGCAAAGTCGAAAAACAAAGGTCCGGGTTGGCGAAAGATACGCGAGGCTGCTCTATGCGCCAAGTACACGCCTGAGTAGCCATGATGACAAAGTCGAAGTAATTTTTGCGAGTGTATTGGCCAACCCAAGAGTGCGTAGCTGCATGAGAGCGGGAGGGCGTAGGGGATGTAGCTCGGTGTCTGATGACACTGCACGCGCGGTGACTCGAAGATCATGTCGGATAAAACTATGTTGGTGGGATGTATCAGCATAAATTGCATTTCTAGTTGCCAGAACATACCAGCTACATCACAGATACAGATTTCCTGAAAAGAGAGCTCCTCGAAGCTCAGGCGCGCGGGGGCCAGAGCAGCAAGATTGAAGCGATTGCACGACTCTTAGGAAGAGATATTATTCATTTAAAAGAGACCTAGTGTAGCGAATGCAATTATCTGCAAGCTGACGAAGGAAAGGACACAGAGGATGGTTGAAGCAGCGCGCGCGTCACGGATATTTTTGTCACGTGCCGAACGCTCGCGCACGTGCCATTCCCGCCATACCCCAATACAGAAACGTCGGGACTCGGGAGGGAGGAGCGTCACGCCCAGACGATATTCTGATGGCGGTGCCACCGCAACGTCCCCTAGTTTTGCGAAGAAAGCTGCAGGGTATACGTCCGTACGCCCATGTTTTTACGTCTTCGACAGCAATAGGTGCACACCTTCCCTCTTCTCTCTTTTGAGAGCATCCGCTGCTTTTCGCCAGTCCTTGCGTTACAGTGTTAGCTTTCAACCAGTCCTTCGAAAAGGAAGATGAAGGCGGGCGTGTACGACTTGCTAGGTGTCGCCTCGCCATTTGACCCCTCTTTCAGCCTCGTCACCTCACCGCTCCTCCCGCCGCTCGCGCTCGCGCTCCTGCGCCTCTCGCTTGCGCTCTATTGCACGTTTTTCATGCTCTTCCGCCTCATAAACGAGGGTATCAAGAATCACTCGGACGCGATGTCGGTACAATTCATGCTTACTGTCCGATTTGGCACTAACCCGAAGCGCAGGTTCTTCTCGTTCTTTACGAACCTTTCTTATCTCGGCCTGCTCTCCTACTTCTGGGCTTCAGGCGTGCAAACCTTCTCCTTCTCACTCGCCCTCCGCTCGCCCTCGCACACACCGCACTACCTGCTCCAGGCGTGGCCGCGCCCTTTGCAAGTTTTGCATCTCCTCCTCCAGAGCACCGTCACCACTTTCCCGATCCTCGTCACCGCTGTCTTTTGGAGCCTGCTCAGCGGAACAAGCACGTTCGCGACTCGCTACAATGCATGGGTAAACATCAGCGAGCATGCGCTCAACACCGCGTTTGCCACCCTTGACATTTTCCTTACAAATGCCTCCCCGTCGCTCCCAGGTCGCCCGCACTCTGGTGTCGCCCTACCTTGGGCGCACCTCCCATTCCTCATTGTCCTCCTCGCATGCTATCTCGGCGTAGCGTACGTCACAAGTGCGACGCAACATTTCTATCGTATGTCCCGCATCTTTAAGTCCAGAGGATGTTTCTGACACTCTCGCAGCCTACTCCTTCCTCAACCCGCATACACAGCATGCCAAACTCGCAGCCTACATTGTTGGCATCGCCGCTGCAGAGGTTATCATCTTTGTCATCGTGCGCTACATCATGATGCTCCGCCATCTGCTCGTTTTACGCTTTAACAGGAACGCTCAAGAGGAAGTAGAGTATTTTGCAGGAAGCGTGATAATCGGAAAGAGCAATAAAGAGGGCGTGGAAGCACTCGAGGACTGGGAGCGGGTGAGCCTTACGGATGGCGAGCGGGGTATCGCGCTCTGAATCTCATTGGCGCTTTCCTGTGGTACGCATGCATCTCCCACTTCGTTGATGGTGAGAAGACTAAGTGTATGCAGGTTCCGTGTTCGCATTTCAGGTATTGTGCTGGATCTTCAATGGGTCCCTAGGTGTATTTATCAGCTCGTTCTTCGCTGCGCCTTTACGGCTCTTGGGAAACTCGATGTGTCTGCCTCTAAGCTACTCGCATCCATGACGAGATACATTTACTCTATATGGTTCCACGTCCAACTTTACGTCTGGTTCCTCCTCAAGTCATGTCGGAATATCTTGGAGTCAGGAGGGGCAGCTGGTGAATAATAATTCACTCCGTGAAAACATTGCAAGTTTTCTCGCACTAAGTTATGCCTACGTGTTCTATATTATGAACATAAGGTTGGCCGCATTATTTTGGCTTCCAACACAGGACAACACGGCTAAAAAAACAAAAAACAAAATGGGTTTGCAGCTACTTAGAAGTCACTTTCGTTTTCCTACCTGTAGACTTCGCCAATGATCACACGGACTACGGATCTGCCCTTGTTTCTTGACCGCTTTTCGCTTCACCTTTCGCTTCTTCGTCGTTCTCTGCTTTGTCTTTGTTGGCGCTCTCCGCACTACTGTACCCGTACAGCCAGTCCGGCGGGAAGCGCCCAAATTATTTCTCCGACGACTCCTCAAAATGGCCATGAATCGAGAACAAATTTTTGTAGGGGTCAGCGGAAAATCGTTGTGACGCGTGACCGGTGCCCGCCGGACTACAGGTACAGTAGTAGGGTGCAGGCAACCGCGCGTCCAGCAGGTCCTAGGGGATGCGGAGGGTTCGAGCATACTGTAGAACGCAAATTATGGGTGTCCTTCAGGCACTGGTGGGGGGAAGGACTCGCTCACAGGAAGAACATCGAGGTGCTCGCGCTTGAAGCGTATCCTGTATACCAGGAACTACGACGTTCCCCCGCGCGGCAGATTGCAACGGGCCAGTTACGAATCTTACGATGTACTAAAACGCTAAGAGAGGTTGGTCTGATGATCTTGGAAGAGGACATGACGGGGAGCAATTCAGAGAAGTGTCAAGATAATGATGAAGTTGTAAATTCGCGCAGGCTGTAACTTTTACTTAAGCCTATGCTCGCGTTGCACGTGAGCTGAGACGCTGGCGCTGGGTCGCATCCTCTCCGACATCTCCCATTTCTAGCCCTCCATCGTACTTCGTTCCAAGAAGGGTAGCGCAGAAACTGCATCTCCCATCTCAGCACACTCAATTCCGCGAACTCTCAGAGTGCACTCGTGCGTCGCCCCCTTTCAAGTATTCGAACGTCCAATTCTGGCCTACGTTCCACTCCGTCGTCACGAGGATAACACCCGCGATTTGACCAAAGCCGTCCTTCCTCATGTTACAATAACTAACCTGCACATTGTCCAACCTCCCGCTCAGCAGAGACCTCTGTTTATTAGTGCCACCAGCTTTGCTCTGCACCCTGCTCTCTCATTTGCCCTTGGGCTGCTTACCTTACACCCCGGCTTCTCCTACGTCAGTTTCAATCCAGTAGCCACTGAGGACATAACTTCTGCAGGAGAGTCTCTGCGTCGCGTCCACTGGTCCCTTTGTGAGCAAGGTACACCGGAGCAATGCGTTGGCGCGTACCTCTCGCCGATGAATCGTGCTTCAAGATAAGCTGTTGTGCAACAATGTATGCACTCGCTGCCGAATCTAATGCATTTCTTCATTCGTTCGCCATAGTCGCGGTTAGAGCTCGAGTCACAGCTATTGTTGCCGAATATGATGCAATTTACCTTAAACCGTAGGTTCAGATGTTCAGTGACCACAGCATTCACATTTCTCCTAATTACTAGTGGGAGCAGACATTGTTAGTACGACGCCAACAATCTGCGCCACACTGCCGGATAGTCGTGACCGAACCTGTAACGTCACGCGAACTCCGCGATCACGCATTGACCACACAGACCCAGTAGAACAAAGGGTGGCCCCGGACAAAACCAACATGCCGCGCCTGCATAAATACCTGGTCAGCCCATCACACTTCCGTCAGACTTGTCCTCATCTCTGACGTCCATAGTCTCGCCACTCGCCATGGCATCAGCTCTACCCTCATCTTCCAATTCTACCCCAGGCTCGTCGGCTCTCCCTCGAATATGCCACGCCACTGCGTTCACGCTCGGTCCTAACAGTTCGTGCAAGGAGAAACTCGTCCTAGGCTCGAAGGGTCCGATGTGGTTCCTCTTGTACGCAAACCAGGGCAAGCGCATGTACACACCACTGAACATCTTGTGGCCGAGCGACCCTTTTCCCGAACCTTCACCGGACGGCCGCGCGCGCATCGCGTTCACGAGTCCACAGGGCCTGTCTCTCCTGAGCAACCTTTTGGAGGCACGTATTCCCCCACTCGGCGCCACTAGAGTTGAGGACCCTCCGATGCATGCCATTGTGAAGCCTACAGGGCGAATGTTCGACAAAGACGTTCCTGAAATTGAGATCCTCCTCGATGAGCTCGAAATAGTGCATGGGTGTACCCTCTGCGGCCGATGGGAAACAACTGGTGCGCCCAATTTCAAGTGCTGTAGTAGCTGCAAGTCCCGGTACTACTGCTCCGTCCAAGTACGCTCTCACCCAATCTTCACATGTGAACACTTACTGACAGAGGAACAGTGTCAGCGCACCGACTGGCTCATGAGACACAAGAGTATTTGCGCGCTCCTTAAGCAAGGCAAGCTCCAGGAAGCAGAGAAAGAGGAGCTCATGGCGCCCATGAGCACCTTCACATGGAGATTTAGGAACGCGTTGAATGGTATGTTCCTTCTAATCTTACGATGTGGCGAATCTACTAATATTGGATTTATCAGCTCTCAAATCGGAGGCAAACGACGTCCTTGCATCTACATATCAAGAGACGGCCGCAAACCCAGCTGACAGGGACGATGTGGCGAATAGTCGTCAAGCCGGTGACAAGGAGGAAGACAAAGGTGACGAGCCCTGCGTTGAAGATGAAGATGAAGTGTACAGCGACGATGGCGAGAGCGTCTGGGAAGACATCAGCGAGGAGGAGGGGGAGGAGGAAGACGGCGTTTCGTCGTCGAGCTCCCGGTCTAGTGGAAGCAGATAGACAAACAGTCGACGAAGCTATTGCCCCACCTAACAATATTGATACTCGCATGAAGACCGGCTGGCCCTCCTACCACCTGCATGTTACTCGTCTATGTGGTTTAAAATGAGGTGCTCTTATTACTACGCATTCGCCAGCACAATTGTCTTTTCCAGTACATTCATATTACCATCTTGCTATGGCTCTGAAACGTACAAATTTGTGTTCAATATCGTAGACTGGTTATGGTCCATCTCTGGACAAAGACAGCGACGGCATTGGGAAGGGCCCGGCATAGAGGGCTGGGCAATAGTGAACTGTACCGCTGAAGCAGCCAAACGGAAAAGGAAATACCTGTTGGTTCATATATACTCAGTTGCGGCAATGAGCTTGGTAACCAGGCTATTTGTGCTAGTGATGGGGGTACGGAGCAGCCTGCTGGTGACGACGGGCAAAACCCTTGCTGAAAGCCCTTGAGGACACAGAGATGCGCAATGACAGGCGGCATCCCATTTGACTGCGTAGGAGGTAAGCAGCAGAAAGGCGTGAATGTTGCCTGAGTACCCACAGATTCTCCCGTCACCTATTCAGATTTGCAATCGATGTTAGATTGTCATCGGTTCAAAAGACTATCGTAGCAGAAGGGTATTGCCACCATGCCTAGGATATGGCGTTTGGAAAAAGCGTCACCAGAACGCTCGTGCGGCAGGAAGATTTAGATCCTATGCAGCGTAGCTTAGTCAGATGTAGAGCCGTATTTCCGACTCGCCTCAGCTCAATTATGACACATGGTCAACTCTTGCGCCATAATACTCTATTGGATCCGCTTGTTCGACTGAAGAGATCGCCGAACGAATCTCCGATACACCTTAGGCTCCATCAGCACGACCGTGATCATTCTGAGGTAGCGATAAGTAAAGGTAAACGCTAGAGCAATGGGACCGCAGTGCGACCACCTTATCCGGAGGCAGCATCTCGTTGCTTGCGAAGCTAGTCATGCGGTCTGGGGTAGCCTCGACCGTGTAGGCTTGTTAGATGTTCCCCGTACGGTGCGCGTACATTTGCAGTGCGAGTTATGGCGCGTGTGGCGTTTCCACGCCCAACACATGGCTGGTCGTGTAAGTAGTACATATCTGTAGCATCTGTGGCAACCGTCAATGCGGGAAGATGCGTCGAGAAGCCGAGGGGAAGGCGCATCAAGCACACGGATCGACTGCCAGCCTGCTCCGCGCCACTGGCGATATGCTGCCAAGGAACTCGGCGCGTGAGATGCGTGTCCAGATTCCTTGACCTACTCTCAGGGCGAATAGAGATATCAATTAGTGTGCGACCATGGCGAAGAGTAAGGCTCTGATTCGGTGGGTTGTACAGCATAGTCGATAATGACGATACAAGAAGTCGCAGGAAAGAGAGTATGAGCTTGAGGTGATCTGTTTAGATCAGTAGTCTGCGTCAATCCCACAAGTTGATGCAGTGCTATATCAGGACCTACCGAGCATGTGCACGAAGGCGCCGTATGCGACGGCAGCAGCAGCAGCAGCGAGGGAGGCCCTCCTAGCTATGAGCGATAATCGGAGGGAGAGTGCTTGAAAAGTTACGATTGAAACAATGCACGCGAGTATTGCTAGCCGGCCGTGTGCGCGTTCGTGTTCCACGAGCTGAAGGTTGCTGACTGCTGAGGAGATGATCAGCCCGTCTTCAAGCTTCGAGCGAGTTCACAACTCACCTCCCGTAAACCTGTAGTGCACTTACTCCCATGGGTAGCCGTTATCCACAATGCGTTTGCGTGGAACGCAAAAGTCTATCACAGCAGCGGCCAGCCCTTCGTGTAAGGTTGCATATGGTGTCCAATGACGACTGATTTGCTTCTCGCGGGCTTACGGCAAGGAGAAGCATGCGATTCCGGCCCTCGAAAGAACCGTCATATCACTGCCGAAGATGCACCCGAAATCCCGATACAATGTACAATGAAACCAAACGAGGCCTCGAGAGAGCTGAGGCCGAGGACGCCAGCCTATGACCATGTGATTATCCGCGGTTAGGACGCTCCCGAAGACGACTTGTCAATACACGCACCACGAGTTCGAGACCCCTGTGAAGATCTCGAGAGCTGCGAATGAGCTAATCTATTTGGAGCTGGAACGGTGAGAGCAGGGGCATGTGTTATGAACCTTGTCGACAGGACACGCATGGTGGCTGCCAGGAAGTGGCGGCAAGAGCATGTCCAGACGGCTTCTCCGAATGCCAGCCTCGACAAGGTGGCTGTACGAGGACTAGTGGAAATGGCTGCATATGGTTAGGGCGGCGTGGTTGTTGGACCTCATCCTGGTAGGGTGCGTAAAACCGAACACAGATGTGCCAGTGCTACATGAACAGAGCGGTTCAACCAGCTGTCACGGTAGGGACACCTCAGGATCAGCGTTGCAGTGCAAACTGCGGCGCTCATCATATCGATGTTCTAGCCATGGGACAGCCAAGATACTGCCATGCGTTAGCCACAACTGCGAGGGAGCCTACAAACGAAACCCTGCACGGCCGAGCGACAATACTCACGGGGTGCAAAGACGGCGCGTGGCCATGGAACTTCTAGCGATGCTTGTAGATAGCTTTCCCAAGCGTCGCATGCTCGAGAATCCAGAGCCGTGCTTCGGCCTGGAGAATACTTATGGGAGTCTACTCAACCCTCCAGAATGTCGGGATCGCCCGCCGTCTGGATTCCATACTTGGTCCTAGGGACCCTCAACCGGACTCAGCAGTGGATGCGCACGACCAGCAAAGCCTCTCTAAGATCACCAACGCCCCACCTGAGCTCCAGGCCGACACGAACGTACAGGCAAGAGTTTGTCGCACCTGGTCGTGTAATAATGCGGCTAAAGGACGGCCACGGCTAGGTTTTCGCTGCATCACGAGCGACCCGCAGCCCGGCGCGCGGCCGAAGCCGCTGCGTCAAATTGTGGGGGTGGATGCAAACTTCGGAAGCGAGATCAAAGCCTGAAGAATGACCGATCGGCGCTGCGCCTTGAGAATTTCGGGCGGCGGGGTCATATCTGCGCTCCGGGCGGGACGTCGCGGTGGGGCTTGTCTGCCTCCTAGGGGCCAACTGGCATGCGATCTCGGAGCTCAGGCCGTCTCCGCAGCCCACCAGGCTTGCTATCAAAGGCAGCTGTCGGCTGCTGCCACCGTCGTCGCCGGGGCGGGTGCACTTACAGCTGGTTGACATGGTGACCCAAACCCAAGACGGACGAAGATACGAATCATCAACTGTATATAGCGCTATAGAGGAGATAATAATTTTAGACGTAAGCAGTACAGTGGACCGAGTCAAACGAATGACAGCCAGCGGCGATTATACAACGGTCTGCTCGGCGAGCGAGCAGCATGAGAGCGATGGTGGTGTGAGTGGTGTCGATAACGAGGGTGAAGAAGATATGGTCATCGGTACCAGTACAGACGAAGGCGGACAGGGTCGGCGGGGGAAGGAAGCGTCATGGAAGAACAGAAAACGGTCTACGTATTATCGCCGAAGGAGTGCAGGGAGCCAACGAATGTCATTGGCAAAGGACGGGTAGGAGGTAGTACACGATAAGGCGCTGTAACGTAGGATAGATAGGCAGACACGAACCAAGAGAGACATCCAGAACGAGACCGAGGCGAACAGAGCAGCAGACAGGATGGGATTAAGAACAGCGGGAAGTCCAAAAGCGCGCGCGACGAACAATAGATAGGAAGCGAGTCGGGAGTGGAGAAGATGTTGGCAAAGCGAGCAGAAGCGTTTGAGACACGTCGCGGCGGGCGACAGGTCTTCAGAGCATCATTGCCGCGAACACATTGCCGCCACCACCCACAGTCATCGCTGCCTGCGCGCCACGTCCTCCCATGCCCATCCCGCCAACGCCGAGGCCGCCGATCGGTCCCATGGCAGGCATCCCTCCGTTCATGGTCATGCTCTCATCCCAAGACCCAGGTGCACCAGGGCCCATCCTGCGCGACATCCCTGCAGCCGCAGGCATCTCGTAACCGCTACCGCTGGGAGCGTTATGGCTTCCGGCGGAGCCGACGCTGCCCATGCTGCCGCTCCTCTCTCTCTTCGCGGCGATGGCCATGTTGCTGTCTGCGCCAGGCACAGGTGACTGGCCCGCGCTGCCGACCGAGGACGTGTCGTCGTTGTCGATCGGGCTGCCGTACATGTGGCCGGTAGGCTGACCGGCGGAGTACATCGCCTGGCGCTGGACGTGATGGGGGTGATGGTGCTGGTTGATCATGTACGAAGGCGCCTGCATCCCGTGCGAAGAGGCGGGCGGCGTGAACTGTTGGCCGCCGTACATACCCCACTTGTTTTCTGGCTCGGCGTGTCGGCTGAGGACGCCACCACCACCCATGTGGAAGGACTGCATGCCGTACGGAGCGTCGTACATACTTGCCATAGCGGGGTTCTCGAAAGACACGTTAGTGGGCGACTGGACGATCATCGGGCTAGATGCAGCCCCATTAGCCGGACGTGGCAGAATCGTCTGGAGATGGAGGCCCGTGTGTCCGGGAGCGGGAGCGTTATGCGCAAAAGGATTGCTCTCGCGGTGACGGCCATCAGCCATGCCAGGGGCGACGGCAGGAGGCTGGGAGACATAGTCGTCGTCACCATAGCCATCATTGCCGTACTCGTCACCGTCTTCCTCCTCGATAGGGCCGGCAGACAAGATCTCGACCTCGCCAGAGAGGATCATCTGGAAGCCTTCGCCGCGGACAGGCTCTTCTACACGCGGAAGACCAGAACGATCGCGCCACTCGTTCAGCTCTCGACGGAGAGCATCGCACTCGAGCTTGAGCATCCGAAGCTCGCGAGCAGCAAGGAGGCGATGGCGGCGCGAAGCGTGGATGTGCGCGATAGAGCTGTTGACGATGGAAGACTTGGAAGGGCGGCGAATCTGCGATAGGTTCGGGAGTAAAGCAGCAAGGTCCTGAAGAAACGTTAAACAACTATCATGATGACAGAGCTGACGACATACCAAGAAGCGGCCGTTCAAAGTCTCCCTGCGAGCGCGCTCGACAGCATTGTGAGTAGCTCTACGCTCAGCGGTGTTGGCGCGACGGCTGGGCTTGCGCTTAGGCTGAGCAGGAGCAGGAGCTGCAGCGGATGAGTTCGCTTCGACCTTCGGAGTGGCGTCGACGGGCGGGGGGAGAGCGAGTGTCTGAACAGTGGATGGGGAAACAGGCGTAGACGGACCGTTCGAGCCGTCAGAGGACTGAGGGGACTGGGGAGCTGGGGAATCAGCGGGAAGTGTCATGGCCATTGATATAGCAGATAGAGGGCAGATACGGTTGGTCTATAGATGTATGCAGTTGGACGAAGAACCAAGAGGCGGACAAGAGAAGTTTTGGTTCTGTAGGTCAAGTCGAGAACGCAGTGCGGAGTTCTGGAAACTATGGAATCGCGATCACCGAAGTGTTCAGCGGGATTCTGGTAGTTCCTGAAGGTAAGAGGTGATGGAGGTGGACAGAGTTCGGGGCGATGGGTCACTGAGGTTTGCTTTGCTTTGCCAGTCGCGAGTAGAACTCAAGCGTACGGCAGCTGCAGGCGCTCTGACGAGAAATAGGAGGTCTTCGAGGCTTGCTTGCACTTGGGGATTTGACGGGAAGGGTGAGTGCCGACAAGGGTCGCGAGATCTGCATAACGACGTGCAAGTGAGCTTTGTTGAAGCGAAAAAAAAGAGTAAGGGCATACACCAGGCGTTATCCTTGTTGCGGCAGGGCCGAGTGGAGGTTAAGGGAATGCAAGAAGGGGAGGGGAACGGAAGGACGCTCCGTCAGAGGCTCAGGACCATGAACGGGGTGGGGGAAAGACTGGACTCCGGAATAGTCGACGCCAAACAACCAATCTCATATATCCCCTCGGCACTACCCGCCTCATCTTCCAAAACAGGCAGCGCTCGTCACGTAACAGTTACAGCAATCACAAAGGTCACTGTCACGCCGCGGCTGCTTTCGAGTGCCAGCCTCCGCTGCCGAGCCTCAGAGCTTGGACTGTGGTGTTCGGGCAGAACTGTTGTCTGCTGTTGCATAACCTGCTGCACCTGCTCGCTCAGCTGGACAGAAAATATGTAAATCGTGACGCTTGGCCCGGGCGTGCCAGAGAGGGAATCTCCGCCCTGGATCTCTCTTACGATCCAGATCGGGGTAGTCAGCACTATCGCGTCAGCCCAACGCCGCGATAACGACCCGTCCACTTCTGATGCACCTCAACTGCGACTGCAGTGGGTAGGGCGACATCAGCCTGCCCATCATCTCTTCCCGGCGCCCAACGCTGCGTCGTTCATCGTCCGAACCGTCCAGACCGCCCCGCCGCCTTCGCGCAGCGTACAACGTTGTACTCCGTGACATTTCCAGGATCCCTGATGGAAGTTCGAGGAATCCGACAGCTGTGTCTTATCTCCGATTCGCCAGTACAGCCCGTGAGCTCAGTACAACACTCATATAGAACTCCTCTTCCTAATCAGCCCGTCGAACAGTTTCAGCGACCGATCACAGAGCATCGAGAGTCCTTCCGTATCCTAATTTCATCTTTTTCTTCTTGCTGCGTCCGAGGCCCCCCTGCGATATTCCTCTCGTTCGATACCATATTCCAATGCGAATGCTCACCTGACCCTCCCGTGCCCCAACTCCGGCCCATACCAGTCGATACTGTCATGATGCCTGTCTTAGCGCCAAAGTGAAAACTGCTCCCCGAGGTTTCCCAGGTTTGCATCATGTCCATGTCCAAATACATCGTAACGCTCGCCTAATGCCCAGAAAAGCACAGCCTTTTTGTCTTTTCCCTCCGCAACGGGAAGCGTCGGCCGCCGCTGCTCCTCGATTACCCGTTCGACTACGCTTTGGGCCGCCTGCGATGTCTTTCCATATCCCGGAAAGGTCGGTGTCGACAGGTGAGTTGATCTTGTCGCAAATTTCCGTTTACCCTCATGAGGGAGACGCCCCAAGATTGCATCAAAATTGTATCAAAACCGCCTCACGAGGGAATCGTGAGGCCCTCATGAGGCAAATTTCGTGTCGTGATGCACATCACGATGCCCTAACGAGGCTTGTGAGAGAAAAGATCGCTATTGATGCATCATGATTTTGGGAAAAAATTTGCGACAATTCTGCGCGACGATGTGCTGATTTGCAGTCCGCACAGTTCTCGTGCCAGCCATTCCCCGGTAGCTCGCTCCTGCATCCCGAATGATTTGATGCGCTTCAACTTTTGTGCTCGTCTGGCATGTGAAACCTCCCTGTTGTTCCCCTAGCTACCTTAGACATGTCTGACTGTCCGTTAGTATCCACCGCTGCCTCATCCCCTCCGTCACTCTAAAATTTTGATTGCAGGATGATACGGACGTGCCAGATCGAGATTTGCATCCGCCACTAGAAGCTCGAACGATATATCACCGGTCAATCCAAAGCCAGCCTGTTGGCGTCGCAATGCATACGCGCGGGTCTAGAGGAGATATGTTCACGGCGAAGTCGGGCGAGGCGAGAAATTGGTGAGTGACGACAGTTATTTTCTGCCGGGCGAGCTTCCACGCATCTTCGCAAGCTGCCCGATATCGATATATACGTGGTGAGCTGCTCAGGCCTTCTCGATGCTGTGACCAGCCATCTGACCTCTTTCCTCATGTGGCAGCAAACTACGAACGATGCGGTCAGATAAGCTCTGCATGCACATCCTCCGCCGTAGCCGAGCGTCGGTCTTCTGCCCGGCGCGCAGTGTCTGTCTGCTGGTGTGTTGCTTCGCATAGAGGGCCCTACGGCCGCTGACCAGCCATCTACCTGCAGCAGCATCCTGAAAGCAGATTCCTGAAAGCATCACGTCGTTCGCATGTCTTCGCTTCGACGCCGCAGCCTCACAGATCAATTGTCTCGTTCCTGTTTTGGGATTCGTCGTGGACGTTACAGCTGAAGATGGTCGCCAAAGATCAGTGACCGGTGAGTCTGACCATCAACATCAGCTACTAGTCAATGTCTGATACATGCCGTACAGATTCTCACAATGCCAAGAACAGACATGGCTCTGAGACCCATCAAGACCCTTTTGTCGCCCAACGACACCTTCCATTGCAAATCTCCCGTAAATATAGCCACGGTCGGCTGCACACGCTTCGCCCGGCCCCTACCTTCGCAAAATCATGTGCCTAAAGACCCTCCTTGGCACGCTTTTCAAGTGCAAACGCAGCGTTCTGGACGCCGCTTTGTGGCTGAACATCCGCGGTCGTCTGGAGGTTCCATCAAACGCTATCTGGCAGGCACCACGAGTGCATACTGTCATCACTGCGTCCGGGGGCAGTGGCAAAGACTTCTAGCTATAAGGCGCTGTAGGTCCCAGTCGACCCTTCGGCACATTGCCCACCGGCTTACGCTACTACCCGCAGGGCGTACGTCGACTCCCCTGCATCGAAGTCCTCGATTACCGACACCCTCTACACAGCCTTCCCTTGGTTCCACGCAGAAGATCAGCCTATCGCCTGCCCTCCGAGCTGCCCGATGGCGTTCTCGACTTCGTTGGATGCGCATCTTCGAGCAGTTTGCAAATGCGGTGGGAACGTGCCTTGCCGGTGTCACGCACAGGTCTGCAGCGCCTCACTAGCGGCCCCGCTCTTCCAGCGGCACCTTATACGTGACCGGGGCGTCTCGTGGCCTTTGTGTCCAGGACGGTAAGCTTCTTCAACGTTCTCCACTGAGCCGCTGGACTGAACGAACCCAAGGGTTTGTGCCTGTTACGGCCAATTTTGATCGGTAGCCTGTATGAGAGAAGGCTGCGGGTGCTCGGCTTGATACGCTGCAACTTCTCGCTAGGGCCGGCTGCAGCCAGGGCTGGCAGCGGCTTTGGCCGACGTGCCACGAAGCACAACTGGGCCAATCGCAGTCGCCTGGCAGAGGTTGTCTTCCTTCTCGTACCTTCGTGGAAGGCAATCGGCACCGCGTCTCGCTTATGCGTCTATTGGTACTCGGGGTGCTACCGCAGTGGCGGGTATTCGAGGATCTGCTCTTCTGGTGCACGAAGAAAGGCCCCCTTATCCAGGAACAACGAAGAAGGGTGGAGACCGATCACCTCCAGCAGTTCATATTCTCCGGCTGCAGGCTAGTTCGAGATCGGGTCACGAGCGGATCCTTGGTCGACCACATGTATCCAGTTGTTCTCACCGGTGTGCTTCTTCTCTGTGTCTGTGCTTTTGGGCTTGCGCTGATCTCAGCCTTATACAGTCTGCGTACGGCACGTATGACATCACCGGTTCTGCGTCGAGGCGACAGCGGCGCTCGTGACTACGATATGGCGCCTGCAGGGCTCAAGCTTAACTCACGTTACCTGTAAACAGCCCTCTCGGAGAGTGTACGTACCTCCGCGACGCTGTATTGTCGGGCTTCCCTGGGGTTTCTGCCCAAATTCGGGCTAATCGGGTCTGGCAGCAACGGGCGCTATCTCAACGCCGGTTTGGGATTCAGCAGAACAGGGTGGACGCGACGCGGAGACTAATAAGGGGCGATAGTGGACATTCACGTCCACAGCTTGTGGAATCAGTAAGCGGGGCGAGGGTGCGACTGGGGAGCAGCCCGGGAACTGGTTCACGGACGTGACAGCGAGAGCAGGTGTATGTATTCAGACACAGTCGGAAGAATAAATACAAAGGTACATAAGGTTCACGGATGCGATAGCGAGAGCAGGTGTGAAGCCGGGAACATCGCAGGTGCGTCGAAAGATAAGCAAGCGGTCATAAAACGACGTGCTTACGCTCTGCGCTGAGAACGCTGCGCGGGACGCATGAGCGCTTGGGCGCGACGCGTTGACCCATCACCACCACCACCACCACCACCACCACCACCACCACTGCCCTCTCGTCCACCCCCTCGCGCTTTGAACACACGTAGAAATTAGCAAGCAGTCGCAAGGAGAGATGGGAGATGCCTGACGACGACCAGAGTGAACAGAAGGACGAGAAGAGCTGGTGCGGGTGAGGCTGGGGAGCGACGAACGAGGTGCGGAGGCACCAGTCGCCCCAAGCAGAGGTACGTCCGCTTCTTTCGATCGCATGCTGATCTTTCTATTTCTCCAGACTCATTTCGCGGCTCGGCAGCCAAAACCCCGACGCGTCGCATAGCACGGGAGCTGCCTGCAGATGCCACAGCCAGCCACGACGACTGCGACGCGCCGCCGAAGCTGAACAGTATGACGACAGTATGACGGCATCGTGATAACAGCCTCGGTGTGCTGGCACGACTGTGCAGCAGCATCGAGTGCTGATAGCGGCCAGCCACACACGACAAGACAACGCGTCCGCCGAGCTCTTGCACGAGCATGCCGGGGAATACGGCACGACCGGCCACAAGAACACCAAGGCACCGTACCTTCCACAGCACAAGAGGACGCGTTAGCGACAACATGCAGTCAGCGCCGTTGCGCGCGCACGACCGTGCGCCGCCAACAACAGCCCTCGCGGGTTGCGTGAGGCGGCCGAGATGAGCCGCGAGCCAGAGGTACAGCAGCCGGCAGCCCTGACTCACCCTGACTCGCTAGAGCTCGATGTATGGCCCACAACGCAGCACCATTGCATATAGAGCAGGCAGTAGTCCACGGCGGCATGCAGGAGACAACATACGACAGCCACCGTTGTGCATGTGCAACCGCGCATCACCGACAAGGGCGAGCGAACATCGTACAGCAGTGTGCGCGACCGCGCGCAGAGGTGATACGACGCGGCGCAGACAGAGGCACATTGGCAGCGGCGGCCCCTGCCGTGCGTGCACAACCGTGCGCTAGCAATAAGTCCACGGGGACTGCAACTGTGTGAATCGTAAGTGCTGCAGTCACGATTCTCGGGAGCCCAATGCATCGACTGCCTGAGTCAATACTTTCAGTACAAGTGAACTCACCTCTGGCGCGTACACTTGTGCTGAAACCATTGATTGGGCCGGCTATAGCTGCCGCCGCGCGCGGTGACCCGACGAAGACGGAAGCAGCCCGCAAACTGCGGGGCGATGCCAACGGCGCGCGAAGGCCCGACAAAATGAGCCCAAAGTGCAGCGCAGTGTCTCGCAGCATTAAGCAGAATCCTCAAAGGGATGCATCGGGCTGCTCCTCAGAGCCACAGCGAATGCCCTCCGGAGCGTACAGCCGGGTGCCACCTGAAACAGTGCAGCATGCCCGCTGGCGGTGGGTGTACACCATCTGACCAAGGTGGCCGGACGATACAATGACTATGGCTGCTATCGGTCGGCTGGTCGGCCATGGATGCTCCGGCTGAACCCAGTGACTAGCGCAGGCGACTCGTCTGAACTTTTGCATCTTAGCCTGCTGTATAACGTCTTGCCTATACTAGGCACAATCCTACTGTAGCGGAGTGAACGGTACAAACCGTAACGCATAACGAATCCCCGCACCGGTTTGTAATTTGAGTCCCCTTATCACGCGTCATGGCTTATCAAGGGTCTGTAGGGTGCCCAAGCTGGTTCGAATGGGCAGTATGGCTCTTTCTATGGCCTTTTAAATGATTCCAGGCTTTCAACAAGGCTGTATTTGCATGTAGGATTGTCAGAAGTACCTAATTTGCCCAATATTTTGCCCTGTAAACAGACATGTCACGCATAACACGACGGTGGTTTGTAGCATGGAGGGCAAGTTAAGCTGTCATGCCTCCCAGGCCAGTTTGTACCGTTCACTCTGCTACAGTAGCTACTAATCTACAGGTATTGAGTGCATTGGCTTGCAAGTTCAAATTGCAAGTTCAAACTCATTACAGCTACTAACAAAACAATAGACCGCCTACTGTTGATGTTCACCTCATAGCTTTGTTTATCTTTGGAGTGGAACAAATAGAATTGAGATTTCATGTCAATGTGACCTTGGACCCTAAAAAACAGCAGCGAGTGTGCTCCCTCATCCCAAGTTACATGTGCTCATTTTTGTGCTCTAACCTCTGACTTTTGACCCTTTTACAATGCCTGAAGTTCTCAGAGAGAAAGGCAGGAACTTCATTGAGTTTCCACGCTGTTGAGCCTGGTCATTTGACCGCTGTCCAATCACCTCTTGCTCATCTCTTCTAGCAAGCTTGTCTTACACCTCCAAGCCGTTCTAGTTACAATAAGATAGTTGTTGGCTTTTGTAAGTGTTCCTTCTTGCTGCAGGTGTCCACTGCAGCAAATATCTTTTTGTTCACCGCAGTGTGCTCAATCAGGCATGAAGACCCCAAGATCTCGATTCTTTATTTGTTCCGCTCCAGAAGTAAACAAAGCTATGAGGCGAACATTAACAGTAGGTGGTCTATTGTTTTGTTAGTAGCTGTAACAACAATGTAGCCAGCTGAAGATGGTGGGATCCCAAGAATCCTTAAGGGTTATGAGCTCTGGTAGGGGTCGGTAGGGACCGTTTCGAGCGCCGACCACTGCCCTTGACGCTGGCTCCTACCGCTTGACGCTCGCTTCCAACGCAGTGCGTGGCTGCCAGTGGCGACTGCATGTGTGCAGAGCGGCGGCCAAGTACAGCATAGTGGCTGTGTGGTCAGCATGCTGCAAAGAGCGACTGCCAGTGGCGACTGCATATTTAGTGGGGAAGCAGCAGAGTAGTTGTGGTCAAACCTCGCCAGCGATATGCAGATGCCAGTGGCGACCGCACGTTTGCAGGGAGACATTGAAGTACCTTTGGTCATAACCTTGCAAATTAGTTCAAGGTGTCCAGTGGCGAACATCTATGGGTGAAATTATGTCGAGCAGCATTAGCCAATCTTACAATCTAGATGGCCGCCAGTGGCGACCAC